AAAATTTGAAGGCAAGTAATTATTAAGTTCTTACAAGGGATTCAGATACTGGGATTGTATCAGTGGAGATTCAGCCCTGTGTGATCTTTCCCTTTGACCACATGCCCTTTATGGTCCATGCCAGTTAGGCAGGATGCTGTGGCCCACCCTGCAGTTCCTGAGGACTTGATGAGAGAAGATGAAAAGGTAGAAAGAGGCAAAGCCTTCTCCCAGTTGCTTATAGCACACAAGAACTACAATTATACCTCTGGAGCTGCTTTTACCAAACAGCATTAAAGAAACAGCTGCTAAAATTAGCTGTATTAACTCTACCAGATACTGAAGTACATAAGCTCGTGAGGAACACGGTGATTTAAATGTACTGGACATCCATTCTTCATAGTCAATTAAATGATGTTGGCAAACAAATCTCTGTATATACTTCTGCTGAAAGAACTTGACCATTAAAAACGAATTAACCACCCCAAGATTTTACACTTGTAGATAAAGTTAAAATAAAATAGAGGACAAATTGTTTCCCAATCTGTTTATCTCTGCCTCTCATCTTTTCTTTCAAATGCACATGATAAACCCAAAATTGATATAAAGGTGTTTGACTTTCAATCAAAGTGACTATCTTGAAAGGAGATAAAGCCATGCATAGTGCATATATTATAAGGGTTTGAAGTAAAGTCTCCTATGCATTATTAAATGTTTTGTAAGGAAGAAAAATTGAAAAAGAGAGGATTGACTTGGCACTAGATAAAAGGTGCGACCAGGAGTTTCTGGGTCTTCATAGATTGAGAAAAGTCAGGAGTGTGGCATTCTTGGCTTTGAGTCCTGACACCAGGTGACATATGGGACCCTTGGCAGGAGTAGGAGCCTCCAAAACTTTATGATAATTAGTCACCAGTAATACATCTGGACTTGCATTGTCCTCATGCAGTGGGGTGCCTCATGCCAACAAGTCTATGTAAAAAAACTTTCCAGAATACGCACTCCTACATTTTCCCATATTTTCATGACATTGGGTTCATATTTCCAAAAATCCTGGAAAGAGGGAAAAAATAAATTATATTATTATTTTTAACATATTGAATTCTGATTCTAGTTAGTTTCAATTCCTTGGCATCAGACTTATTGTCTGTCCAATGCTAGC